TGGTCACCACAGCTCAAGGTTCTAACAAGCCTTGACATACACTCTTCTTTACAGAAATGGCTAGTATTTCATCCTACCTGGACCATAAATGATATTGATAATTTCTTGCTTCTATTGCAAATGGAAGGCTGGAACTGTACTTGCCAGCTCTTCCTCTTTTTTCTTGATGAGTCAGAAGCAAATTATCAATTAAAGAGTAAATTAGCTCACAGTGGTAAAGAAGGCAGTATGGGGGTGTCCTAGTTAGAGGGGCTGGTACCAGTTTATCACTATGTGGGTATAACAAAAATTGGGTACTCTACACCCTGTATGTAATTTCTGATGGACTGTTAATAAATGGATTGTTTGGTGTTAAAACCAGGTTTTTTTCTGTATCACTGCATTTATTGTAATCTTTTTAGTAAATTGTAACTCTGACTTGTAATCTCCCTTGAGTCGGGTTCATTTCTCCCACCAGTTTACTCTTAAACCAGCACATGGGGAAAGACCTTCCTTGTAACTGAGGTTTGCAAAATATTTAATTTTGGCTAAAAAGTTTCTTGCATGTCACTTACTTCAAAAGTTTCAGTCAGCTCCTTAGCCAGCTCTTGTTTAATTACAATTAAATTGTAATTTTCATTCCTAGGAGGCTGGCCTGAGTTTTAGCCTCTGCTGATATCTCACTTTTCAAAAGCCATTCTGAATACATGTCATAATCTGTCTTTTATACCAGCTCTATTCCATTCAGCTCTGGTAGATAGATTTGTTCATCTCCCTTTTCGAGTGTAACTTTATTAGTAAAGTATTTATTCTGCTGCAAGATCACATGCTGTTCTGGCATTATCTGATTCTGATCCTGTCTGATGTTGCCTATATTCTAACTCCAGGAACAAAAGGGAATGAGCATGAAGGGCATGCCTAAATTCCGAGATGTAAATGCTAATCAATTCTCCTCTACCATTGGATGGATCACTGGAAAAACAGAATATGAAGAACCCACTGAAAATACATAGTGGTCACGCTAAAAAAAACCCAAAAAACAACAGACCAAAAACCAAAAAACAAACATGCAGGGGAGGGAGGGAAAGGCCAGGAGAATATAAGACAGGAATATACTTTTTCTTAACCTGCACATATATAAGATCTAGCTACAGTACACATTGTGATTCCAGTTCCTGAGAGTTAGGCTAATCCTAATGCAGACATTCAAGACGTTTGCATTATTCCAGCAGAATTTTTTCGTTCCTGTTATCCTAAGACGTTCTGGCAATTAAATCTAAAGTAAAAATGGCAAAATCTATTTTTAAAAATTCTAATCAAGTTTATATTTTAAATTGAAAGCTACAAGCTGTCTTCACAATTTTTTCCATAACTCTTCTGCCTTCATTGTTCTCTACAATAACTTCACCATAATTTCCTGGACTATAGAGACAATAATTATTTGATATTACATTTCAGATTTCATTACTTATTAGTCAGTAGGACTGCAAAGTTGATCTGCATCTTTGGGAGCCTCTCTGCTAAATGGGAGATGGTTTAAACACAGAAGACAACTAGAGATGACCTAAAGGATACACTAACGTGACATAATTACATGTACTTCAAGCATGCCTGATGGAGGTTTTTCAAGCAATATTAATATACTGTTGTAATATACTGTTAGTTTTAATGCAGTAGTGAGTATACAGTATTCACAATTTGGGGAAAAATGCATTTTAGGGGGAAAGATAGGCCCAGATCAAGCCCATTCCCTAAAGTAAAAGGGTATAAACAACTGGTAAGGGATCAGGAGGAGGGAAAAATAGGAGTGGCAGTAAGGCAAGTATAAGGTTGCATATATTCTTATCTGCATATACAGATTAGAGGATTAATTGGTTAAGTAAGAAGGCAGAAGGTACAGTAATCACAGAGCATACTGATTAGTGTGCTGTTCACTAACCATTACCATTCAGCAGTTTAAACACATATTATGAGAGGAAATTCTTAATACATATTTAAAAAGGACAGAGCAATAGTTATGCAAATTAATGTCAGAAGAACAGTCTACAGAAAATGAATGGCATGAGAGGAATGAAATAATATTGCAGCCTCAACCTATTTTTTTTTAATTGTGAAAAATAATACAGAACACTGCAATATATCAAGTTTTTACTTCTCCAGTCCTGGGCTTTTATCTGTCCCTTGAAATGATGCCCAGAATATTTTTACCCACAAATTTAAGGACCATACAAACACTGTTAAGTTTTGATTTTCATATGTCACTGAGGAGAAACACGCTGCTTGATACTGTTTTGTCATACAGTTTTTACCACACAGATAAGAGGGAAAAGTATCCCATGATATTGTGAGATGCATGTTTATGAAAGATGACCAGATACACGATGCCTTTAGGCAATAGGAATTAAGAATGTTATTAATAGTTGAGAGTTCCTGTCCACAGAGGGTATATTAATAGTGGAGACAGATTTCTTAATATAATTTTGTGACCTTCACAAGGAAATCTTCCTGCTATTACGTTATTGACAGATTTCCCTTTCTCTCCCTGGTAAAATCTAAATACCATATAAATTATATTTGCAAAGACATTACATCTGTTCACTGCATGTCTGTGAAAATAGAGGATTAATCACTGAGCAAACAATATAGTAATAAATGGTGATAAATAGCTGCAGTATATTTGTAATGTGAAGTCCATTTCAGACCATCTGTTTTTGATTTTTTTCAAGAGGGAATCTTCATAAGAAAATACCCACAGAAACTGATGAAGTGATTCTGCTTTAGAAAATACTTCTAGCAACAATATTGTTGGTGCTGCGCGATATATAGTCAAACTGTTCACTCAAAAGCTTACTTAGCAAATAATTCAGTTTTTATTGGTTTTGTTTGTCCTCATTTAACATTGTACAATTTAGAAAAATACTTTTGTCTGTGGGATGGATTGCATAATCAAATATATAATTCCTTTAATGCAGCCTATTCTGAATTCTCTGTGGTAATACAGCTTTCTATTCAGTTCCAAGATTGCCTGTTTTCTCAAATTTAAATTAACTCTAAAGTGAACACTAATGTTTTCCAGACAAACAAGAAAAAAACCAATAACAGCCAACTTTACCAAAACACGTTTCCCAAGATTCTGAAATAAGTGACTGTGAACTAGTTGATGTAAGAAAAGTTTTATATGCAACTTATTCACCAGCTGACATGATACTACCTGCCAACAGTTTTGTCTGTTTACTCAGGTCTAGGCCACTGGCCACTCTGATGTATAAATATCCCTTCTTCTAGAACAGCAACAGATTTAAATGCTGATTTTTCCTGCATCTAACCTCTGAAGAATATAAAGGTTGGAAACCGAGGAGAAGCCAGGTAGCCCCTGACGCCCACTGGAAGGGGGGGAAAGGTGCAGCATGGCACAGTGCAGGTGTGGGGGTACTGGTGGGGAGGTAGAGCAGAGGTGAGATCTGCAAGCTGCCAGGACAACATGGGCTGTAACTGTGTTTATTTTACAAGGGATGCAATGTTGGAAACAGAACCTTCACCTACACGCACCTATAACATCTGAGTTGTAATCAATACCTTGGCTTGTCTGGGTAGGGACAGTCCTGAAGGGATTGAGCTGAGGTGAACAGCAGATACTCCTGAATGCTATCAACTCTGCAGCTGTTTGATGTGACCTTATGTTCTTTGCTTTGTTCTTATGTTCACCTTTGCGTAACTGATACCAGCTTCCTTTAAACACCACCTTGCAGGAAGAGCCTGAGGTAACTCACTAGCGCAGTCATGCACCCACAATGGATTTTATTTACGCAATTATTGTAGTGGGAGTTTATAGACCACCCCAGCCGCAAACAGTCACAGAATCACAGAACAGTTAGGGTTGGAAGTGACCTCAGGAGATCTAGTCCAACCCCCCTGCCAAGGCATGGTCAGCTGGAGCAGGTGACACAGGAATGCATCCAGGTTGGTTTAGAATGTCTCCAGAGAGGGAGACTCCATGACCTCTCTGTGTGGCCTGTTCCAGTGCTCTGCCACCCTAAAGGTAAAGAAGTTCTTCCTCATGTTGAGGTGAAACTTCTCATGTTTTAGTTTATGGCCATTGCTCCTTGTCCTGTCACTGGGCACTGAAAAGAGCCTGGAAACATCCCCTTGGCATCCGCCTTTGAGGTATTTATATGCATTAATGAGACCCCTCTCTCAGACTTCTCTTCCCTAAACAGGCTCAGCTCCTGCAGTCTCTCCTCCCAAGACAGATGCTGGTCCAGCCCGCGCCGATGCGGGTTACAATACCCGGCGCACGGACGACGGCAAATTCCCGGCACGATGCCGAGGGAGGGCGCCCGTTCCCGAGGCGGCTGCACAGCCCCCTCACGCCGCCAGGGGGCGGGAGCGGCGCCGCGCGGGGCGGGGGGCGGGGCTTCGGGCGGCGCGGCGCGGGCGGAAGCGAGCGGCAGCGGAGCGGGCGCGCGGGCGGGCGGAGGTAGCGGAGGGGCGGCGCGCGGGGGGCGCTGTAACCGGGGGGCCGCGAGGGAGCCGGGAGCAGCGGCGGGGATAGCAGCCGGAATAGCGGCCGGGATAGCGGCGCGGGATAGGAGCCGGGAACAGCAGCCGGGAGCAGCGGCGGACGAGGCGGGATAGCGGCCGGACAAGGGCGTCGGGGATTAGCGGCGGGGACAGCGGCCGGGAGCAGCGGCGCGGGTACAGCGGCGGGGATAGCGGCCGGGCAGCGGCGGGGATAAGCGGCGGGGACAGCGGTGCCGGGACAGCGGCCCGGGCAGCTGCCGGGACAGCGGCCGGGACAGCGGCCGGTATAGGCAGCCGGGACAGGCAGCCGGGACAGCGGGGCGAATGGGGGCTGGCGGGGCTGGCGGGAAGGGGGCGGAGGAGGCCCGGCAGGCCCGTGGGGCGTGCACGGGGAAAGGGGGTGGCCGCAGGCTCTGGGCTGGAGCGGGATGGCGGCAGGGCGGCTGGCGGCTGCCGGGCGCGTTCCGCACGCGCCCGCTGAGCGCCGCGCCGTGCCGCCCCTCCCGTCCTCCGGGAGCTGCCCTGCTGTGGGACAGGTTTGTCCTCCTGGCTGCCTTCCCGCCGGGTGTCGGTCCCAGCGCCGGTGTTGCGGTGTCCTTGCGGGCCCCGCCGGCGGAGCTCTGGAGCGGTGAGTTGTGCGGTGATCCGGGCATCCCTCCGGCCGGAGAGCCGTGTCCCAGGGCTGTGATGCAGTGTCCTTGGATGGGAGGAAGTGGTGGAGGAAACAAGGGTTGCCTGGTTTCCTTCACCGTTTGCAGTGGTCTTCCCGTTCTAAACTGTGACTGCAGTGACTCTGCAAGTTCTCGTACCGTAAGGACACAACTTCTAAAGAGGCAAAGCTTGATTACAGTGATGTGATGGAACTTACAGGGGGGAAGAATTATTTAATTCATGTTTAAACAAAGGCAGTATCCTTAATAATGTCAGGTTAAGTGATCTTCGGGCACTAACATGTCTACATGCAAACAACGGGTAAATGTTTCACTGAAATTGGTCTCTTCGGTAATATTGAATAAATAGGAAGAAGCAATATTGAAGGAAATTTGCAAGATTTGAAACATTCAGTTTTAGGAGATTATAATATATGAAACTTCTTGACAGCAGTAGTTGTGGGATGCTTCCTGCTTACAATATAATAAAATTTCTTTTCTATGTAATAGCTGATGACGTTTTAACTGCACTTTAAATCTTCCCATTAAGTTTATTTTTGTAAATGTTTATAACGTACTATCATGTCTACTTTATTTCTGTAGCTCTGTTCATCATTCATTATTAGTAAACTTTCTTTTCAGTTCCCTAACCTAACATGGTAGCATCCTGTAAATTCTCTTTTATGTGTCTTGTCATCTAAAATATACTGACAGCTAGAGTGCAGTGTAATTTCTGTGTTTGTGTGCCACAAAACAAGAAGAGAGAATTTTTGTTCTATGCTGTGACATGATGCGGAATTTCCTTAGAGCAGTTCAGATAGGGTTAACTAGATCTTTTTTGTTGCTCTGTTTTTGGGATTTTTTGGTTGTCAAGTTGCCCCCAGAGTTGGCTCATTGGTGTGTGTGAGGGTGTTTTTTCACCGTGAAAAGTGAACTTTGTAGGAATTGTGTCTTTTTTTAAAGAGTCTTCAGAATATGGACGTGCTGAACATCATAGTTAAGCACGCATGTGATTTGTTCCAATTGTAACGTAGAGTTTATTTTGGAGCAAATGTAATGAATTGCTGTTTCACTCTTGTGAGAATACCAAAGAAAGGAGACAGTATGAAGATGATATTAGATTGTGAGCAGCATCTTGTTCTAGTGTCACAAGTGGAGCGATTGCAGTGTTATACCAAATATGGAAATTTATTGTTATCTTTGCTCCCGTTCTTGCTGGAGATGCCCGTGTGTATAAAGCCTAAATTATTCTGGCCTCTTTTTGTTACTTTATATGTTAAAATACATAACTGTTTAATAATTCACTTCAGGTACTTGAGAGCCCCAGAGAATTAAACATTTATGCTGCAATTCCTTTGTTCTAGCAAATAAATCTTTTTCCTAAAGCTTTGACAATTGGAAATAAAGCTACTTCCTTTCTAAAAAAAAACAACAAACCCTTTTGTGTTCTCTACTTTTAGAGACTCCTTTTGGCTGTGATCTTCTTGAAGGAGGCATTAGTATTAGCTAATCCCATACTGTGGTTTAGCTGTGGGATTGGATGTCATTTAATTGCTAAAAGTGAGATATTTCCCCTGGAGTTCATGGTGACTTGTACGTTTTCCAAGAATAGTAAAAGGCACTTAGTTCTTGCATCTTGCCCAGACTGTAAGTAGGATAAATGCATGCTGTCAGCTTAAATTGTCAGCTGTGTAGTCAACATATCTGCAGACTAGTAAGTGTCAAAAATAGCTGTTTTCCAGTAACTGTCAAAAATCTGTGAGGCTCAGTCATTCAAATGAATGTGTTGTGTCCTTGTACAAGTTTACTGCTAAAATGTACTTTATATAGTATTTACTTTTTATTTGACAACTTCTTTCACCTGTAGTTGAAAACTTGTGCCATTAAATGGACAGGGTTTCCTCAACTGAGCATTATTAATCATCTCATATATTTTCTTTTGTGATTGTCAACTTTACAAAAAAAACCCGTATATTAGCGTTTGCCTATGTAGTTTAAAAGATTAATTTTGGATTGCTCAGAACTGAATCAGTACTTTGCCTACATAAAACAGGTCCTAGACAAGAGGACTTAAAAGTTATTCCACTGAAATTGGTTTCTTCACTAATATTGAAGAGATAAGAGGCTACCAGTTAAATTTTTGGGTACCTTCTACTTAATTTTAAGAACAGTATATTTTGCAGTGCAGACCACTGTAGTGTTATGGTTAACTAATGTCTGTCATAACCCACGTGGTGTGCTAAGATGAACTGACAAGTCAATCTAGAAATAATAAAAGATGTAAAATAAAAGGATTTATCTGTCTTTAATATTTCCTCCAGTGTTAATTTTTCTGAAATCTTCAACTGGATCAGTCTCCTAGGAAGGAGCGTGAATCCAAAGCCTTGTCTGTTTTGCAGTTTTACCATAGAAACATAATTTTGATAGACAAATTCATATGCAGTTTGAATTCTGCAGGTTTCTTGAAAGAAAACCAGGCAAGTTAAATTATTCTTCTCTTCCCAGTGGTACAAGTCCTTTTTTTGCTGCCATTCTACAGGAATTGTGTTTGTGTGGATGCTGCACTGTGTTTCCACGTATGAGCAGTGGCAGTCGCTCCCCCATCGCAGCTGTCACTTTGTTAGTTGTCTCCCCCCTTCCCCTCCCCTCTTAGTTCTCTTTAATGACACCCACCTTCCTTTTAGGTCTCTTTAGAATGCTCAGTGAAAATCACCCTCTTATCAGTAGCCTACATTCATCATCCTGCAGGCTTGGCTCTCTGTAAAACTAGTTAAAATTAGCTAAACATTATCATCTCGGAAGGAAGTTTTGAAGTCCCAGGGGCTTTGGAAAGAGCGATACAAAGACAGCTGTGAAATTTCACAAGGGAGTAGAGGTACTAGTTAGGAATTTGCAGGGGAGGACTTGTCATAGCCTAGTGTTCAACTGCAATTAAAAAATTGTGGCAATTTTATGGGAAATGAGAAGCCAAGAAGGTGCCTTATGCTCTATCATAACTGACTCTTAGGAGCAAGGGTCCTACTGTGACCTGAAAAGCAGCAATAAAGCATAGTGAGAAAATAAAGTGTCCGGGGGGGGATTAAGCTGAGATATCTTTTTTTTTTTTTGTCCCCAAGAAGCTGATACAGAGATATAGAAACGTTTTGGGGCCCAGATGGACCCAGTGGGAGGAAGGGAACTTCAGCAAGTATAACATACTGTCTCTATTGATATCTGCTTGCTTTAATTTTCTTCACAAGCCTTGCCAAGTCATTTCCCCTCTCAAAATCTTGAATCTTGGCTGACTGCCCACAGGCAAGGAACAAAGAATTTCTGTTTTTAAATGGTTGGTTTATTTTAAAAGCATTTACTGACAGTAGTAGGCAAAATAAAGGAGGGAGGAGCTGAAAAAAAAAGGATACTCGAAGATACCAAAAAGTACTTGAGCAGATTCCTTAGACGTAATGCAAAATAAAACCAATGCAAATAGGACCACATGAATTCAAAATAGAAAAAAGTCACCAATATTTCTAAAATACTGACATACAAAAGGTAATATAGTGTTTGGGCTCTCAGATAATTTTATATCAGAGCCACTGTTAGCTTGTTGTGTGAGTTTTCAAGTCTCAAGCAATATGTTTTTGCTTTTAACTTGAAGTTCATCTACAAAACAAATCGTGTGCTGTTCTTAGAAGCCTGTAGGAGGTAGAACTGTTTCTGGTTTAAGATATGTCTGAGATTATCCCAGCAGCTCCTCAGTAGCGACACTGTGTCTGCTTGATGAGCTGTGACTTTTACTGGCTGCACTGAGAGACAGGGACTACCTGGAGCACACAAGGAGATTTTCTTCTTTCTTTGTTGCAACACTGCAGAATAGGTATTCTTGGTAGTTACCCATCTTTGCTATTCCCTTAAACCTCCCATCTCCCATCTCCTATGATTTCATTTGGAACATCCATTAAAGGTATTCCCCAAAAGACAGGTAGCAATAAGGCAAAAGGATAAATTTTACTTTTTATCAGTTTTCCCTGGTAGTTGCAAGTCTATGGCTTGCAGAAGCAGGGAATGAAGAAACACATGCTGTTGGAGAAGGTATAAAGATAGATGTACTGGAAAAGACACGAAGACAGACTCCTTTGGCAGCACACTCCAAAAGTGGTACAGAACTGCTAAAACCTGCAGCCCAGCAGCTGTCATAGTGATAGGGCAGCCTTTTTTTTTGCCCAGAAATGTGCCTTCATACCTGTTCTTAAGATGGCAATGTGCTGTGTAGTGCTGATCCTTCCTCTTGAGCCTAGCAGGTACTACTATAAATTGTCTCTTCTATGATGCAGTCTGGAAAGACCCTCAAGTTTCACCAGCACACAGGTACAGCATTTTGCTGGGCTCCGTTGTGCCAGGCATTTCTGAGGTTTTTTCAGGAATGTATCCTCTTTTCTGTCTCTGCTTTGACATTTTTCTGTTGACGAGGTGACACACGCCCTACTAATTTACCAAAATCTACCCAGGCTCCATGCCATCCGGGGACTGGCCTGTCCGAAGCCCTTTCCAAAGTTCCAGTGAGTCCCTTTGAGGTACGATCTTTCCTACGACAGGGAAAGCAATACAACACCATTCTTCCAATTTTAAGTAGCACTTCCATTACCTTCATCAGTAACAGTATTGTTGCAACACAACTTAGATAATAATTGGAGCCAATTGTAACCGTGGGGATCTCCTTTACAAGGCCTTTGATGTCGAAATTAAGAAAAGTATTGGTAGCATTCATCCTCTGGGCCTGGACGTTTCCCTGTGGGATAGCCCAGGACAGGCACAAACATTGCCAAAATCAGAAAGGAAATGGGTAAAATGGCCTTTAAAAGGAGAACCCTTGTGCTATGGGACCGTCAGGCAATGCTGATTTCAGGGTCATTGTTAGGGCCACCTATGGAGCTCCTGCGGTAGTGGCTGAAGAAGGCAGAGCTAGCTCTCCTCCCCTACCCCGCTCTCTCAAGTGGCA